TGATTTTTCTCCTGAGAGTCAGGGCCTTCTCGACAAAGATTCTTTGATAATAGTAACTGACCCTCATCAAAAGATGTTTCTGACATAAAACATATCTCAACTTCTCCTATCCCAGATTATAAATAAGCCATTTGTATTTCCCCGCACAAAAGTGTAAAATGTGGCTCTGAGGCACTATCAAAACATTGCTGTTTGTTTATGAATCCCGACCACCCTGACATAGCAACAGTGGCTCAACCAATAGCGTGATTTGGGGGGGGGGGGTGGCTTTCTGTTTGTTTGACCAATGACAGGCAGGGTAAGTGTTTCGGAAACCTGTTTGTAAAGAGTCATTATTTCAGTGAAGAAAGGTAAGTGAATAAATCTTTTTACTATCTATCTAGAAACATTAAATATTTCTGCACAGTTTCAAAATGAAATAAGAAAGCATTCTCAGATGATTCTCTGACAACTGAATAGGGCCTCAATGTGTTTGTAGTCTGTGTTCATTAGTGAAGCGTGGCTCTCAGATGGGAATGTCTTATAGCTATTCTCCACAGAGCACAGGACGGCCTGTTATTACCAGAATGCCCAGAGAGAGAGCAACCGAGACAGAGAGAAAGAACTGGATGAGAGCGGAGGAAAACACACAGCAATCTCACTTTGGGGAATTGTTTGTCTTCGGTTGTCACTTTCTCTAATCTTACAGAAGACAGAGAAACTGTACTTGACAGTCTGAGAAAGTCAAGAGCATGTACCACATTTCAGTACCGCGTTATCGCCTTGTGCCATCAATCCGATAAATGCTCTGAGGAGAGAATTATGACTTGACAACTTGATTTCAGCAAAAAATGACACGTTGGCACATTGAGTCATGGTGCTCAAGCAGGAGATGTAGGTTTAAATCCTCCTCTAGTCAATCTAGTCAATATTGGTGCATTCTAGTCAAGTTGGAAAGATCGCATTTACGAGTTGAGTGCACATGAGTGAAATCTGAACTTTCATTAAGTTTCTGAGTTGGGTGTCAGTGAGAAAATATGGTGAAAACAACAGCTACAGCATCTGTACTGATGGTATCCTGATGCACATTCTTTATTCATGATTTTGTAGAAGTAGAGTTTAAAAATCTTGCTGAATTATTGGAAAACGTACATAGTCATTTTGCTCCTACCACAGTTACTTGAACTCATCTGATGCTGTAACTTATTTCCATCTTGTCCACTGGGTCTATGCAAAAATAAATCTGACATAACTCTGAGGTCACATTCTCCATGTCAAGTGAAGTGAAGTGAAGTGACATGTGGCCATACTCAGAATTAGTGCTCTGCATTTACCCATCCAAAGTGCACACACACAGCAGTGAACACACACAAACCGTGAACACACACCCGGAGCAGTGGGCAGCCATTTATGCTGCGGCGCCCGGGGAGCAGTTGGGGGTTCGGTGCCTTGCTCAAGGGCACCTCAGTCGTGGTATTGAAGGAGGGAGAGAGCGCTGTACATTCACTCCCCCCACCTACAATCCCTGCCGGTACGAGACTCGAACCCACTACCTTTGGGTTATGAGTCCGACTCTCTAACCATTAGGCCACGACTTCCCCATACTTGACTTGGATATGTCAAGTATGACCTCACAGGTTTCCAGGAGAAAAACAAACCACATGCAACTTCTCCAACCTGTAGGTGAGAGTAAATTCACCTGACTATCAACATGGTCGCTATGAAAAACAGCCAATGAGCTCTGACAGATGGTAACAAGCACAAAGGCAGCAGTTTGGTGAGCAAGTGGCCTTTTCAAACCCTTCCCACACAGACAGCCATGCTCTACATGCGTTTTGACAGCAATCGACGAGCACAACTGTTCAAGAAACACTGTAAACTACTTGACAGACAGGCTCCAGCGCATTGGGTAAGTTCTCATCTTTGGATATTTCAAAAATCGCATGTTATACGAAATCTACTACTGTAAATAATTGTTGTTGAGGACCAAAAAAAAAAAAACTCAACTCAACTACTGTAAACAAAGAGCAGTTCCATGCTTTTATTAGTAATTGGCCAATACACCATTTTTTTAACAAATATTTCCACATAGTGAGGTAGATATGTGGGGGCGTGTTAGAATGAGCCGTTTTAGGGGGGCGTGGCAGAGTCTTAACTTTGATAAAGAATATCTCTTTGGTTTTGAGACTTTAGTCTTTGCAACTTCAGGGATCTTATCTATGCACAATCATCTTGAAATCGCATCATATGACCCCTTTAATATATTGATTTCAACAGTAATGGATATCAATCCATTGGTATTGGTACCAATCCATTACTCCACAAGTAATCCACGCAACTCCAGTTCATCAGTCAACATCTGAAGAGAAAAGCTGCATGTTCATAAGAAACAAATCCATCATTTAGGCATTTTAACTTTAAACCTTTGCTTCTGGCCAAAATACATGTCCATTATCCATAACGCTTCCTCCAGTGAAAAATTCTCTCACATCAAAATCCACTGATATATTGGTTTAAAACTGTTTTGGACTGTTTTCATTTGTAAACAGTGCTCGATCTGTGCATTTTTCTCTCCTGATTCAGACAAGATTACTTTTTCACTGGAGAAAGCAATATTATGGACAGAGGAATCATTAAGACGTTGAAGTTAAAACACATTAATGACGGATTTGTTTCTTGCAAACACAGCTTTTCGATTTACAAGATATTACTTGATGTACTGGATTCATGTGGATTACTTGTGGATTATTGTAATGTTTTTATCAGCTGCTTGGACTCTCATTCTGACGGCACCCATTCACTAAAAAAGATCCTTTGATGAGCAAGTGATGTAATGCTACATTTCTCCAAATCTGTTCCGATGATGAAACAAACTCATCAATACATCTTGGATGGCCTAAGTTTGAGTACATTTTTTAACAAATTTTCATTTTTGAGTGAATTATTCCTTTACTGTACATGCTAATGTCTCCTATTATTACATTTAGATTAGCATTCTTCTAATGCTCACTTAAAGTCAGGATTTAATGCAAATAGATCAAATCTTTTCCAGACAAGATTTTTTCATCTGTATTGTGACGTACATTTGAGTGAAATAGATTACTGAAGAAGAAAAATTCAGGACGGGGACTTGGTTCTGTTCCGACAGTTGTTGATTGAATGGAGGCAGATCTGAGTGCACGCTTGCAGTCAATTGACCCTTCGCAAGGAGTTTGATTGACAGGCGATCTGACCAATCATAATGCTGAATCTGCCATTTTGTCCAACAAACAAACCAGATTAACATTGGTGGACCTGAACTTGAAAAATGGTGTGTACTGAAGTCTTTCCGTGGTTGAAACAAGATACCTTCTTATGTTCATTTTTATTTTGTGCTATAACTAGTAAAAAGGAAGAGATGATCGGTTCACATGCCTCGTGAACTGAGGCTACAGCGATCTGTCATGACACATTCATTTTTAAATTTATTGACAATATTTTACAAAATGACAAAATTTGAAAGCTGAGACTTTGTTTCATACCAAATATAACCTGCTCTGTCTTGTCTGTTGGCATGTTGTCAGTGTCCTCTTTGCTCCGCGATGTATTTTTCCCTGCGTGAGAACATGATGTGTGGCATGAGAGCGCCGTGGCTTGTCAGACATAACAACAGTAACGAAAGGGGGCGGGACTTTGCGAATGGTCAATTGTAAAAAAAAAAAATTCAGCAGACTAAATGGCTGAAGAAGTCTGGCGCGCATCACCAGAGAGAAGTCTGTCATTTCACTGGAAGATTTTGATCAGGAATTACGAGGTCAAAAGATGGCCTTGTAGTTACAAAAAAAGTTAATTTTTATATATTTTAAATAAAACATATACATAGACAAATCATTCGCAATGTACACAATATGCATTATGCACTATGCATGCATTTACAAAATATAAAGGGTAAATTTTCATTTCATGCTAACTTTGTAGAGATTCCTGTTCCTGGCAAGGCCATAGAAAAATTAATTCAATATTGGCTTCTATCTCATCTTTACTTGTCACACAATTTCTGAAAGCTGACATTCAAGCACCAGAACCACACACCAAATCTGCAAAACCATACACTAATTCTCGGCCTTTGACTCAGCACACAATTCTCTAATGTAACACACAACAATCTAACAGGAATTAATCATATTTGTGATATTTTAAATGCAGTGCTTCATTTTGCAAGAGATGTGAGGCATTTTGCATTTTGTGTGTGCAATTCTTGGATTTGTGTGTAAAGTTTTGGAAAAAAAGGCAAAGTTAAAAAAAAAAAATGTGTGTAAGCAGATGAAAAAAATTGTAGTGAGAGAAACTTAATGTACATAAAAGTACATTCAAGAGAGAGGAAGAGACAGGCAGACAAAGAAAAATAGAAAAGGGAGAAGATGAGAAAGGCAACATATAAAAGACAAGGGAGATGAAGAGAAGTTCAGATACAGAAAAAGGAAAGCAAGAGAAAGTCAGAGAAAAAAGGTAAACATTTTAAAAATGCTAAATCGGCTCGTGGGCGTGATCACATTTGAGATAATGAGTTGAGACTGGAAAACTGGACATCGCATTGGTTTCATACGTATTGCTTTAACAGAGAATATTTATTTTGGACGTGACTTACTTAATTTAAAAGAATATCATAGATATTTCAAGCTTTGGATACATATATTTCTCATGTCTTTGAGGCAAGTATTCGCGGAGATTCAGGTTGTTTTATTTACGTGTTTGTGAAGAGAGATGACAGAGACAGAGACGGCAGAGAACGCACCCTGTTTATTTTCTTTATTTTACAAAAGCACATTGTTTTGTTGTTATTATGACTATACACAAATAAAAGTAGGCCCTTTGCAGCTTCAAACAATACTTTATTCTTATCTGTACAATCAAAACTGACTGAGTATTTTTAGTTCTTTTTGCGGTTATAAAGAAAATACGAGACAGACCGCACCAGTGCGGGCTTCGACCCCAGGTGGTTAAACAGTTCAAATGTTGTGCTGTTTTTTTCTTCTTCTTTCAGACAGAACTCCAGATGACTAGACATCATTGCTATGTGAAGACTGCTGAAGAGAAATTCCAAGTAAAGCTGGGCTCACACTGTGCGATTTTTTTAAAAGTCCTTTAGGATTGTACTTGTCAGGCTGTACGAACATGATGATCATGTCACACTGTGGGATCTCAGTTGTCATTAATGTCAGACTGTACGACAGTCAAGACGCGTTAAAAATGGGTGCGCGCAAGAAAACTTGACCGGAGTTTACCTTATCAACTCATACACGTTCAGTGACTGCGAGCTGCATTGCACGCGGTGCTGTAATGTTGGCTATCATTTAAAATATATGAATGGCGACAATACCAGCGTATTTATGCAGAATAGTGCAAGCAGCACTACACACCCACATAAAAACTGCAGCGCAACCGGTGTTTATCATAGCAAAGGCAACGAATCATATGAATTTGTGAGCAGAGGACAAGAGCGCCGAAGTTTATGCGGTTAGAAGAAATCTCTAGCATTAATTCTGATCATGGCTTGTCTTGAAAACAAAAAAAGATAGTTTGACGTTCGTCGTAGGAGCGGTCACACTGCAGGACTGTGCGCCAAATCTTCTGACACTGCCAGAAGTTCGTCGGAGGTCAAATTTGATCGCAACGGTCATTAATCGGCTGTCGGTGAACATGTCAAACTAACGATCAAAGACTACAGATTTTAGCCTAGGATTATAGGAATCTTTTAGGATTTTCAAAATTTGTCTCAGACGACCAAATCGTGGCCAAAATCGCACAGTGTGAGCCGGGCTTAAGTCTTTCTTAGATAAATAAGGATTGACAAAAGGGAGGAACAAAAGATGTAGAGGGCCCCATGTCTGTGTTTGCCTTGGGCCCTAGACGGAATCTTAACAGTAACTGATTTGAAATGTTCTACATAGATAGCAACTCCTCACACAAATATTTCAATAAAGTTTTATATTACCAAGAAAACAGCATGCTACTCTACATGCAGCTAAATAACACACACATACACACACATACTCTGGTGAAATAGTCACAGTTTAAAATTAGGCTTAACTATTTTAACAATAACAGCATTCATTATTGTTAAACATATAGAAGACTCAATTCGCAAGTCGCAACTGATTCCAATAGAGTTTGACATTAGCAGGTTGCTATAATAACAAGGTGTTAAAGTTGCTATTTTAAAGACATTTTTTTAAATCTCTAAAATGTATTTCCAAAATGCATGTTAATAAACGACTTATCCATGCACGTTTAATTTTTGACCTTATAACTTTTTAATTCAAACACAAAATCATGACACATTTCTAGTGAAAATGAAAGACTTCTCTCTAATGATGACATATCCAGGATTTCTCCAAGCGTTTCACATTCATAAACCCACCCCTTTCTTACTATTGACTGCAAGCTCACATTCAGATCTGCCGCCATCCAATCAGCAATTGATGAATAGAATCCTTTTTAGAATCCTTTTTCTTCAATAATCTGTTTCACTCATAGCAAGAGTATACAAGACTCGATTTTACAATTGATGCAAATATTTGTTAAAATAGCAACTTCAAAATTTGACAGATGAGTTTGACTATTAGCATGTTGCTAAGAGTAGGGACACACCAAGCTGATGCCAAAGAACTAGCACTGAGGAAAGCAGACTGTGGCGCCGCCTCGCGTTGCCTTGCATTGCCTTGACAGTTGATGGCATCCAACTAGAGCCAACGGTGTGGAACACACAGAAAAAAACTAAAGCTGACCGATGCATTTGGTGTGTCCTGCGCTTTAGATAACAGTGTGATAAATACACACAATGTTTGTGCAATATGAATTATACTGTTAACTTTTGTGATCATTTTTGGTATTGACTACAAATTATTTACATCAACATTTCTTTCAACTTCTGGTTGAATTTTTCCTTAGTCTGCTGCAATCCATTCTGGGATGGCTGTCTGTGAAGGACACATGCAGTGCTGCCTTATGATTCGGCCAAAATTAGGTATCTTAGATGGCCGCATAATGTTGCTGCCAACCTTTTGAACAGCTTTTACATCCCACAATGCCTTAAAATGATTGCTACGTTTGGGAACAGAGCTTATATGTGTGCACTGAAAGTCTCATTTCATTCCCACCAACGTCTCACAGATCTAGCAGCTGACTAGGCCTCTTCTAACTTTATCTGTCACTCTTATCTCTTTCTCGGAGTGGCAGCGTGCCTGTTGACCAGGGCACAGTAGGCGCCCAGTCAGCATGTGACAAAAGCAAGAGCCTCATTTGTATGCCGAATGCGCTGCCATCATAAATCTGAGCTGAGAAGCACGGGAACGGGATGCGCCAATCCCGGACTACATCGCTAAATAGTTTGACCAAGATCAGTTTTTGGGTGGATGTTTCAATTACGCTAAATTATTCAACCATTGGAAAAGATGTGACACCGTGCTGATGTGCAGGAACAAGAAGTAACAAGAAAAGTATTACGTGCTGCTGACATTAGCTTTCACTTTACTTATTAAATGTTCTGAACATTATGGTGTAATTATAAACCAAGATGGACTTGTCAAGCTGTCTGTTCCCAGCTGTTGCCTGCAGAGTCCACATGGTGGTTTTCATCACGAGCCGATCAACATCCAAATTCAGCAGGGATGCAGAGATGACATTCAGGATTATGTGATTTCAAGTTTAAAAGGAACATTCACCCAAAAATGAAAATTCTCATAAAAATTTTTCAACTATTTTTATCTATACAATGAAAGTCATTGGTGTCCAAAACAACAGTGGACTTCATTGACTTTCAAAACATCTTGTTTTTGTTAAAAAGTTTTTAAGAAGAAAATGTTTAAAAGAAAGTCATACAGGTTTGGAATGACATGAGCGTGACTAAATGATGAAAGAATTTATATTTTGGGTTAACTATTCCTTTAAACTGACATTTATTTCTCACGCAACACTATTTGAATAATAGGAGCTGATGTGGAGAAATCTACAGATGACTCACCAATGGATCCTCTGCAGTGAATGGGTGCCGTCAGAATGAGCTGACAAAAACATCACAATAATCTACAAGTTAACCACAAGAATCCAGTCCATCAATTAACGTCTTGTAAAGTGTGAAACTGTGTGTTTGTAATAAACAAATCCATTATTAAGGTGTTTTAACCAAAAAAATCCATAATCCATAATAACGCTTCCTTCAGAGAAAAAGTCCATCCCCTGTTCTCCTCTCGCATCAAAATCCACCAATATATCTGTTTAGAGCTGTTTTGGACTGTTTTTGGTTGTAAACAGTGCTTGATCTGGGCACATTTCTCCCCTGATTCAGACAAGATGACTTCTTCACTGGAGAAAGCAATATTATGGATAGAGGACTCATATTTCAGCTGGATGTGACAGTTTGAAGTTAAAACGTCTTATGATGGATTTGTTTCTTACAAACATGCAGCTTTTCACCAGATGTTAATTGATGGACTGGAGTCGTTTGGATTACTTGTGGATTATTGTGATGTTTTAATCAGCTGTTTGGACTCTCATTCTGATGGCACCCATTCACTGCAGAGGATCCATTGGTGAGCAAGTGACAAACAAACTCATCTATATCTTGCATGGCCTAAGGGTGAGTAAATTTTCAGCTAATTTTCATATTTAGATTGACTTATTCATTTAATTCAGAAAACTTGGGATACTGCACACAAATCATATGGACTATATAAATGATACTTTTATTGCACTTTTGGGTCCTTTTTAAGCTTAAACACTACCCATTTACTGTAGATGCAGTGACAAAAAAGACCTTAAAATATTCTTCCTTTGAAGAAAAAAAAAAAAACAAGTCATACGCCTGAGTAAATAATTACAAAATGTTCAGCGATCTTCTCTAGTCCCATTAATTGCCCCATTTCCTTCCATCAACTTTGGTTAAAGAGGAAAAGCCAGGTGTGAGAAGATGATCATCAGACACATTCTTGTTTGAAATGCCATTGCATTTAATGATACATTAACTGTAAATAGCAGATGGTTCATTAAGCTGAATTTGCAACCAAAAGGGCTGAGAGGCCAAGATTATGGTGCGCGCCTGTGTGTAAATGTGTATGCATGCATTTATGTGTGTCTGTGTGCCATCCTGGCTGGACTCCATCCATATTTCATGACTGATAAAGGTTTCGGTAGCGGTGTACACTTTCCAAAGAGTAGAACTGTAATATGCAGCCATTTTGCCATATTCCACTGCAATATACTCCAGATGTGTCTTGTGGCTAATGCAAAAAAAGAAAATCATTTTTTGTGATTTTCCATAATATCACTCTGCAATTTAAGCACAGAAAACAGAGGCTATGTTTCTTGTCCCACCTTCCCTGCCCCCTTGAACTTTTCTTCTGTGCTCTGACCTTCTCTCCTTCTAAGTGAAGAAATGACCAAATGTCATCCTGTTTATTTGAGTAAGGTTGTAGTGAAGGAGATCACAGGAGACCTGAAGCCCATGTGAACTCCACTGTACTGCTGGACTCCTCACTCCGTCCATCTCTACCCGTCAGCCAATGAGAGATGAGCAGATTCCAGACTGTTCATCTGCCAAAAATCATCCTTCAAACTTTCAGCTGCTGTCACAACAAACTTACAAAAAAATACATCAAAAGTAGCGGAAAAAAAGCAAATAAAAATAACATCACTGAGGTTATCATTTGACACAACTTGCCCTGAAAATTTGATGGCAGTTAATACAAGCACTATTTTAAATTATTTAGTGCAAATGTATTATTTATTATTTATTTATTAATATTCATTTATCAATATGTACAAAAAGGGTCTGTGTGTGTGTGTGTGTGTGTGTGTAAAGAAAAAAGACAGACAGAGAGGTAGATAGATAGACAGATAGATAGATTGATTGATTAATAGATAGATATACAAATAAATATGTAAAAATGTAAACATTTAAATATGTAAACAAAAACGTAAATATATAAATAAATAAATACCAATTGAACCTAAGTTGAATACGTAATTGGTTGCTGTAGATGTAATAATAGATAGTATAGACAATGAATATGCTATTTCTCAAATAAAACAGTATTGTTTCGGTTTTAGACGTAAAAGCATTTGTTCAGTAAATGAATTACAGCGTCTGTATGAAGGAACACAAAAGATCAGCCTTTACTGCGGCTATTTCTTCTTATTGCTGCATATAAATGCTATTCAAGATGACCATTCAAATTAATGAAGGAAAACAACATAAATAATTCCAGTCGAGAAAATATATATATATATATATATATATATATTTATTTATTTTAATTTTTTTATTCATTATTCTGTCAATTGCCTTCAAGGCTTTAAATCAGCGGGAAATTATATTACATTTTATCTGCCATCAGATTGTAGATGTCACGGCTCATTATCGCACCTGCAGCGATCCAACTTGCGTTTTATTAACGATGCGGCAATATAATGTAAATATATTACTTACCAACGCCATATTTTTCGAGTTCAGTCGGTATCCACATTTTTTCCGCGTCAAGTAAAAGAAACTGTGCTATAAAACAGGGCAATTACGGCGGATACTATCCATATTGTTGTTAAACAGGGTAGCACTGTATTGTTCTGAGGGTAGAGCCACAGCAGCATCCCACATACACCACACTTCTCAGCCCTGAAGAAAAACACCGTTGCCTCATGGGAGATGTAGGAAATGAATGAGAAAAATTGGATGGAGAACTACAACACCCATTAACCGCATACACAGCGGTGATTTAACTCTGATTGGTCAATGCGTCATTCACCAGGTCACGTGATTTGGGGGGAAAAAAACCATGGCCGCTCTGATGCACAACACTAATTTGACAGGTTGGTTAACCAAATTATTAATATTGGCTGGTATGTTAACAAAATATTGCTTTATTTCCGTTTACATGAAATGCGTGAACTATGGCAACTAGCTATTGCAACGTTAAAGCTACTGCTAATTATAACAGCTCGTCTGCACTGTAATGCAAGTTTGTCATCTACTTTTCATGGCATATGTAACACATAATGCGGGTTTTTTCCCCTTTTTGGATAAGGACAGTGAAACCTGTATGTCTCCCTGCCCTGCAAAGCTGTTTTTTAGCTGGTCTAACTGGTCTTCCAGTTGGAAAGCAGCCAAAAGCACATTAAAACCAGGAACAGACTAGCCTAACAAGGCCAGCTAAAACCAGCAGAACTTATTAGACTAGTTTAAGCTGTTTTTATCAGCAAGGCGTGGGTGGTTAAAGTGCAAAGTTTGTTGATATGGATCTTCTAATAGATGATCAGCGACCCAATAATTTGTCACTGCAAAAGCTCATTTTGAAGAGACAAAACAACTCATAAAGTGCACTTACTGTAGGAGCACAAATGTTTTTAGAGGATAACCTGCTGTCTTGAGTCACACGGTCATTTTGTGTGAATCAGCTGCTTGTTTGTGTGAATGTTGCAAGGACATCTTGCAAGGTCGTGGGATGTACGAGACAAGGGTTTCTCACTAGCTGGAGTGCTTCAGAATGAATTAATGACCCAGAATGGATATAATGTCTTAAGTCATATAAAACACAAAGATATCTGTGCATCATATTTTAATAAATGTGTGAACACTGTGTTTTCTCTCAATGTTAGCTAAGCAGGATTGCATACTAGAGCCACTTTGTTTCCCCGAGCACCTGTGTGGTAGCGCTCCTCTCGCCTCCTCCAGCGATGGCCGTCCTGTGACCTGTTCGCTCTGTTCAGACTCTTTTCCAGCCTCCGAAAAAGACCAACTTCTCAAGCATATGGTGTTGTATCACAAACTGGTTATCGCTGATGTCAAACTCATCGCAGACTTTCCACGGTGAGAATTAACAAGATTTGTAAGATTTGAGAGATATTCATCAGGAACAATACAAATAACACAAAATAATGAAAAATTATAATTGTCTTGTTGCAGGTACATGTTGTACTGGAAGAAACGGTTTACAGAACAGCCTATCACAGACTTCTGCAGTGTTATCAAGACCAACTCTGAAGGTCCTGTAGGTAAGACACATATGAGCTCTTGCATTTGCATTTTATAATGTTAGTCAATTGCCATAGAATTGACAGTAAACTAATTTAAAAGTATTTAAAGGCAAATCCCATGTTTTTTGTTGTAAACTATTATCTGACATTAAACACACCCCTTAAAACTTTTGTTCTGTCCCACTGTAGTCAACATTTAAAATGTTACAATGTAAAAATCACACGGCAGAATTTGTACATAATCCAATCATTACACAGTGGTAAGAGAATGTGTAATTATTAACTAATTTTAATGAGCAAAATAAAGATTTTGTACATCGATTTTCCACTTTTCAAAATTTTTAAATTGCGTATTGTTGATAATATACCAATGTAGGTGTTTTTATAGGTACAGTGTCACAATTCAAGGTTGTTAATGTTAACTAAATTTAAAAATTTCATTAATTGAAAAGAAGCTGAAATTAAAATAAAAGATCACATTAGATGAAAAACAGAAACTTAAGAAAACGTCATTTGAAAATGTGTAATTTTGCCTGTGCAGCTAACTGAAATGAAATAAGTTAAAGTTGCAACTTGCAACACTAAAATTAATAAAACTATAACGAAAATAAAAAATAAATAGAAATCACTAAATAGAAAAAAAAAAAGAATTATTACTAATAAAAATGAAACTAATGACTAATACTAAATAAAAGCTAATTCAAAATATCAATAAATACTATAATAGCATATAAATAATACTGGTCTGGGGAATACCACTTTAACTTCTCTGATTTAAATGTGAAGTCTAAATCTATGAAGGCCTGTTTAGATGGTGACCTTTTTAGACTCTAAGTACTAAAAAGCTGCTTTGTGTTGTTTTAGAACAACAAGAGCACTACTTCCTATTGTGTGATGCTCTGCCAGAGGACAGGATCCTTAGGGAGCAGCTACAACAGAGACGACTGGTGAGTGTCACTAAAACGACAGGTTAGGAGTGCTGCTCTGGGATCAGCTCCCATCCTGTGTAACATTAGGTTATGAGTATTCAAAACTGATCCAAGAGCAGCAAAAACTACTATTAAATTTATATGCAGGAAACCTGGAATATGAGTAAAGCCCTGTTCACACCAAGAACGATAACTTTAAAGATAACAATATTAGCGTCCACACCAGCGAACGATATTGTCTGTTTATTCTAAGCGCACGCTCGTCTGCCGCTTTAAATTCTCGAGCTCGTTACAGCAGGATGGATTCTGATTGGCTGTCAATTTTTTTTTTAATCGTTCATCAGCTGGAGAAAAATCGTTTTGAAAGTGATTCCAACGATATCGTTTCTCTTTGCCTTTATCGTTATACTTGTGGTGTGGACTCTGCTATTCTTTAGTATTGAGAACGATTTTTAGAACTATATCTTTATCGTTATCTTTATAGTTATCGTCCTTGGTGTGAACGGGTCTTAACACCATCATAAGAGAAGACTTTGAGTATTTTCTCTTTTCAAACAGTGTTTTCGTTTTTAAATTAAAATTGTAAATTAAAAAAAAGAATATTTAAAAAAATAAAAAAGGAATATTTTGGTTTTTATTATTATTATTATTATTGTAAAACAAGGACTTTTTGAACCCTGAACTAAAGATTATTGGATTGTGAAAATTTTATTTAAAAATATTGATGTAATGATAGTAGTATGTATTTTCATATATAATGAAAATGGTTTTGAACAGATATTTTGGTTATAATAATATTATATAATAATAATATTATATTAATAATTATTATTTCATGATTAATCTCTTTTTTTCTACCAATCGTATTATGTCAGATAGGAAATGTAATTTTATAGATTGAAAATGTTATTGAGAGTTAAAAGATTATTGAAGCAAACCTTTTTGTTTTGAATAATATGAACTTATATATCACTTTGAATATTTAAGTATAAATTGCTGTGTAACTGTTAAAAAAAAAAAAAAAAAAAAACATTTGTGTTGCCAGAAATTCCACAATGGTTACTTACCTGGAGGTACTGACAAAACAATTAACACAGTGTTCAATGAGACCCCCAAACCCCACTCCCCCCCACCCAGATTGTTTTTGCAGAGATATTATGAGTCAACATTATCATCTCACACACATTTTATCACAGGCAAAAATCTGCGATTGTGGTTGCTAGGCAACCAGCGTTCTCAGCACCTCTGCAGTGGGCTCTGCAGTGTGGCGACCAGCTGTTTAACAGTGCAGCTGTGACCTTTTTCAATCATTCAGTGACACGCTGCACGTTGATGAAACTCGAGCTGAGAGGATTAGCACTATTTATTAAACACAAATCATTTGCAGATTGCGTCTGGGATAATTATGGATGATTATGGCAATCGAACAGCAGGTTTTCAGAAACGCAGAATGATAAAAACACGCCACACTGAGATTCATACCCATTATAAATATTGTTTATAGACTCACGACAATTATGTAACCACATTTATAATGTGTACTATAGTAATGTCTTGCGGTGCTAGATAAGTCTGTAATGAAGTTTGATATGTTTCGATAGGAGGGAGTTCTGGATCAGCAGCAAAAAGAGAGGGACGATACAACGTTTCATCGCGCATGTATGTTCTGCAATGAGGAGTTTACTGGAAACAGGTGACCAACAACTGTCATGTGCATCAAAAGCTCATTTCTGATGGATTTCTAATTCTAGAATCAGAACATTTAGTTTCAAATCATATGCTGATGTGAAATTGTTCACATTTGAGTTTTGACATCTTGTACATGAGCTCTACCACAGACCCAATCTCTCAATTATTTATTATTTAAAATTTATAATAGTAATTATTTATATATTATTTGTTATATAAAATGTAATTTATTATGTAGTATTTCATATTATGTATAGTATTTAATATGATATTATATATAATACAATATTTTTACAGTATTAAATAAAATTTTACATTTTTAAAAAGGTTTATTCATTTTAATTTTGTATGTATCTCAGAGAAATTCACTCAAATATAATGTCCACTACAGAGGCAAAAACTCCATAGCTGGGTCTCAGGAGGATATATAATACATTTCATATTATTTACTAATTTATAATAAATTTGACGTGGAACATCTGGAAGGCCATGCAGCTCAATTTGTTTAGGGTATCGATTTCAAAATCTAAATCATACCAAGGTGAAGACTTTACTCATGAATATTAATTAGCTCATTTGACTGAAGGCCTAGGCAGAATACCTTGTAGTGTCAGAGTAAGCTCATTCATATTCATGAATACAGTTTTCACTGTATAGTGACATCACAAGCCAATCATCTTCGGCCCTCCACTCTGTCGCTTATATAGATAGGAATCACTATTTTTGCTTTTTTGTTATTTTAATTTTTTTATTTGTATATTTATTTTAAGTGCTGCATTTCATTTGTGCACTGTGGTTTCACTGCAGGTCTTCACTGCTGAATCACATGGCTAAAGAACACTCTTTCAGCATCGGCCTGCCTGACAACATCGTCTACTGCAACGAGTTCCTCGACACTCTGGAGTGCAAACTGGAGAAGTGAGTGTTTAGGATTTTGCTTATCTATCTATCTATCTATCTATTAAATAATAAATTAAATATGTACTATTATATAATACATTTCGCAA